GGGGGGGAGGGAGCTGGTCTCCATCTTCTGGAGAGCAGTTGGAATTCCAGGTGATCTCTAGCCCTCACTTGGAGACTGGCAACCTGAGTTCCTGTGGAAGGAACGGCTCCTCTGGAGGGTGGAGTCTATGGCATTATAAGCCACTGAGCCCCCCCCTTCAAACCCCAGCCTCCCCAGGCTCCAGCCCCCAAATTTCCCAACCTGGAAGTGGCAACCCTTTCTCCTTCCCACCCAACAGCCAACCTACCTTTATCTGACCCTGACCCTCTGGTCTCCAGTTTCCCCCCACCCTGGCAGTCTCTTCCGAGGAAAACTGTGGCCCAGTTGTGTGGCGTCGGCCCCCGGGCCAGGCCCACTTGCATGGTAGGGAACCCTCAGGGACTTGTGCAGTGGCACCTCACTTTCCCCTGTATCCCCCTCCCCACGCTATTTCCTCCTTCTGCTCTACTTTCCTCCTCATGTCCTCTCTCAGTAGGCTTCCCAAGTCCTCCCGGGGGGCGGGGAAACCCCCGCCCCAGAGGCCCGTTCCCCTGGACTGGGTGGTGCAGTCAAGCACATGGCCGGTTTCAATACCTGGATGTGGTACCGTGTTTGGCTAGGTCGTTCACAAGTGATGCAGGCCCGATTCAGACACACAGTCGGAAGGATTTACGGGAACGTGGGAGTGATAGATATTGAAACACTTCATGGGATCACTGAGGGCCCTGATTGGGAACCAAATCTCATTGAATTCGAAGGACCATCACTTGAACCACCAGGAGGATAATAAGTGATGTCAGAGTTTAGATTCGGGATGGTACCAGGCGGGCCATTTAGGGTTGTCAAATGTTACTCACCTCTCCGGCGGGGGACTCCTGCATGGCTCCCGGAGCGTACGCGCGCGAAGCACACGCGCGCCGCATGCACATCACAGGGAAGTGACGTCATGACGCCGGGCATGCTGGGGGCAGGGCCACAAACATACAAGGGAAAACCATAGAGTTTTCCCTTGTATGGCCATGGCCCCGCCCCCAGCGTGCCCGGCGTCATAGCGTCACTTCCTGGTGATGCGCACGCCGGGGCGGGGTTCCCCCCAGGGCCCAATTCCCCGGCGTCGGGGAACGGGCCTCTGGGGCGGGGTTTTCCCCGCCCCCCGGGGCGACTTGGCAGCCCTACCCCCTGGAGAGAATGATTATTTTGGAGGGTGGACTCTGTGGCATTATATTCAGCTGAGGCCTCTCCCCTCCCCAAACCCTGCCCTCTTGAGACTCCACCACAAAACCAGAGGTAGGCTCCATGATCCAGTGGATATTGCATGAAAATGCCATGTGCCATGTGTGGGCCACGTGATTAGGGTTGTCAAGTATGATTTTCGCCGCAGCGGGGGACTCCCGGCTGGCGGCAGGAGAGCGCGCTCGCGCCGCATCCACATCACTCGGAAGTGATACAACCACGCCACGTCACTTCCGAGTTTTCCCTCGGATGACCGTGGCCCCACCCCCAGCGTGCCCGGCGTGGTCGCGTCACTTCCGGGTGACATGCACGTCGGGGTGGGGTTCCCCCTGGTGCCCGATCCGCCGGTGGTGGGGAACGGGCCTCTAGGGTGGGGGTTTCCCCGCCCCCCGGGGGGACTTGGCAAGCCTACACGTGATCGTCCATATATGGTGGCCAAACATGGCCGCCAGAGTTTGCGCAATTGCGATGGCCCTTTTTGGAGGCACTGTGGTTGTGGGAGGTGCTGTGGTTGATTGTGTGGATCTGGGAGGAGCTGCAGGTCCACACGATTGGCACTCCCAGTATCCTGAATTGTGGGAGTATTTCATAATGGATAAAATTAAAGATAATTTACAAAATACAACTGTTCAGGTTTGTCAGTATAGTTTACTTGACAAATGGCTTCCTTTTACCGAAAAGAATCTGCAGACTTCTGTTGTTTTTAATAATTTAAAGAAAAAAGATCAACATATTTTTTATTTACCCATCACCGACAGTGTTAATTGTTTATATATTTTGAACCACACGGCCTTAATCCTTTTGAGAGTTATATTTTATTTATTTATTTAAAAAAATTGTTCTTGTTCTGGTTAATGTTTCTTCAGTTAAGGTTTAGTTTTTCCCTTCTGATGTTTAACTAAGCGAATGTAATGGTATATTTGTAACGTACAATTTTTCTCTTAAATGTTACATGAATGTTGCCGGGAAGCTATTATATATTATGTATATGTTGAATTGACCAAATAAAAAATGAATAAAATAATAATAATTGGCTCTTCCAGGCAACCCCTCACTGGGTCATGGGCAGTGTTCCCTCTAAACTGAGTTAGTGTGAGCTAGCTCACAGTTTTTTAGCCTCCAGCTCACAAATTTTTGTCCTAGCTCAGGAAGAATGGCTCCAGAGCAAACTAATTTATGCAGTAGCCAAATTGCTCGCTCAAAACTTTAATGCCAGTAGCTCACAAAGTAGAATTGTTGCTCACAAGACTCCACAGCTTAGAGGGAACCAGAGGTCATTTTGGGGGAGATCGCGGGGGATCACAGTTCCCTCTGGTGAGGTACGGGGGGGTGGGGCACATGACGAAGCCCCGCCCCCCGCTTCCGGCCACCCCACTTCCGGCCCTCATTCAGCCAGGAGGAGGCAGGAGAAGAGGGAGGGTAAGTTGCTTCCTCCCTGCCTCTCCCCACCCCTGCCTGCCTGGGGGCAGGGAGGACCATCGCGGGGCTTCCTTGCACTCCCGCCGGCCTTGCAGGTCCACCGCCGGACCCCTCATGGGCCGGCGGCAGCTGCCGGGACCGTTGGGGGCAGGGTGTGTGGCCTTATGACACACTTCCGGTGATGTCAGGGGGTGTGGCCTTATGACACACTTCTGGTGATGTCAGGGGGTGTGGCATATGCTAATGAGTTATGCTAATGAGTTCCCCTAGCACTTTTTCTATGAAATGACCCCTGGAGGGAACATTGGTCATGGGCCCACTGCTGCCCCCCCCCCAGTCCCCACGTGCTGCTTCATAGAGGCAGCCGACTATGTGAAGAGAGCTAAACTGCATATCACTAAAGCCTGGTTTTCTTTATTCTTTGATGCGGAAATATCTGGTCCGATGCCAAACACAATCCTCTTACTCGTCACAAGTAAAAAAAGATGTTTCGCTTTTCCAGTTTTGAAAAAAAAAAAACCAAGAAGCAAATTCAGTACATATTTTGATATATAAAACTGGGAAGATGGGGAGTCACATCAGTAATTAAAACAGAGTTTGAAAAGCACAACAGCACGTCGCTTGCCCACCTGCTTTTCTCTTGAGACTGTGGTTTCCAGTACAGATTCACGCACTCCGGTGTAATATGCCACGGGAGAGGCTCCCCGGTTCTAATGTGTGTTGTTCCGCTTTCTTTCAGACAACCCTTCCCAAGTCGGCAGCGTTACAGTCACCATCAGAGTCCTGGATGTGAATGACAACGCTCCCGAATTCCCCAGGTTCTATGAGACGTTCGTCTGTGAAAATGCAAAGCCCGGACAGGTGAGAGGTTCAGAACTTTGTACGAAACTGTGGCCATCTTCTGTGCCAGTACTCCACTGCATATCCTTACCCAGCACAATGAGAAATTGCACTGCAAACTCTTGTATACCTATCTGTTATGGCTTTATTACAATGCCACAAGAGTAAAGGTAAAGGTAAAGGTTTCCTTGCTCGAAAGCCAGTCGAATCCGACTCTAGGGTTGCGGTGCTCATCTCCGTTTCAAAGCCGAAGAGCCAGCGCTGTCCGAAGAAGTTTCCATGGTCATGTGGCCGGCATGACTAAACGCAGAGGCGCACAGAACGCTGTTACCTTCCCACTGAAGTGGTACCTATTTATCTACTTGCAATTTCTTGCTTTCGAACTGCTAGGTTGGCAGGAGCTGGGGCCAGAGATAGGAGCTCACTCCGTCCTGCGGCACCCGGGTCTCGAACTGCCGAACTACTGACCTTCCGGTCTGCAGTTCTGCATCTTAACCACTTGAACCACCACAGCTCTTGGGTCTTCCCTACCCTGCTCTATATGACTGGTGTCAAAGACAAGGCTGCTATGGGATGCCTAATGGCCTGTGCTGCGTCTCATTCCCGTGGGCTCAGTTGGCTGAAGGGGTAGAGAACTGCTCCCAATGTGTGAGCTGTGGGTTGTCATCCAGCCTCCCCCTGCTATATGCTCAGCCTGTTCCTGTGGACCAAACAGTAAGCTCTGCCTCATGCCAGTTGCCCCCCCCCACCAGCAGTGGGACACAAAGCAATGCCCCATGTGCAACCAAGGTGCCTTCCCACAATGAGCTATTGGGGGAGCTGATGGAGACTGTCTTTTGGAGAAAGTGCACTTGACAACCGAGGCTGCCGTATACTGAATTGGAGAGCCAGTTTGGTGTAGTGGTTAGGAGGCTCTAATCTGGGAGAACCGGGATTGATTCCCCACTCCTCCATATGTAGCTGCTGGATGACCTCGGGCAAGCCATAGTTCCGTCAGAGCTGTTCTCTCAAGAGCAGTTCTCAAGAGAGCTCTCTCAGCCCCACTTACCTCACAGGGTGTCTGTTGTGGGGAGAGGAAGGGAAAGGAGTTTGTAAACTGCTCTGAGACTCCAAGGGAAGGGTGGGGCATAAATCCAATCTCCTCTTCCTCCTCCTCCTCCTACTTTGTCAGCATTGTCTGCTTGGCCTGGCAGCAGCACTTCAAGGTCTCAGGTCAATGGCTCAGTGGTAGAGCATCTGCTTGGCACGCAGAAGGTCCCAGGTTCAATCCCTGGCATCTCCAGTTAAAAGACCTGGCAGAAGGTTATGTGAAAAACCATTGACTGAGACCCCAGGGAGCTGCTACCAGCCAGAGCAGAAGATAGCAACTTTGATGGACTGATGGTCTGATTCAATATGAGGCAGCTTCATGTGTCAAGGTCCTCCACATCACCTACTACCTGATCCTTTTAACCAGGGCTATTTTTGGGCAGGAACGCACAGGAACGGAGTTCCGGCTGGCTCCCACGCCCAGCAGGAACTCATTAGCATAACAGGCCAAACCCAACAGCAAAAACTCATTAGGATTGGCTACATTAGGGATGTGTGGCCTAACATGCAAAGGAGTTCCTGCTACAAAAAAAGCCCTGGGTTTTGACCACAAACAAGGTAAACAGAATAAGAAGCAAAAGGTGGGTGTGGCTGGATGACCACACTTTTGGTAACATGGGGGTGTGGCCTAATGTCCTAATGAGCTGTGCTGTCAGGGGTATGACCTAATAGGCTAATGAGTTTCTGTTGTTGGGTGTGGCCTATTATGCTAATGAGTTCCTGCTGGGCTTTTTCTACAAAAAGAGCCCTGCTTTTAACTGCAGACGCCGGGGACTGAACCTGGGACCTTCTGCAAACAAGGCAGATTCTCTACCACAGAGCCACAGCCCTCACCCCAATATGTCCCCATGTTCCCGCCCTAGCAACTTCAGCCTATGTACCCTGCAAAAGACTGGTGTTCCTGAGCTCCACCCAGGACCTAGACTTGAGCCCTTGGCAGGAGAGGTCTTGGGCATTCCATCGGCATTATGCCTGCTGGTCAAGCAACAGAACCATGTGATGGCCAGAGGGCCCACGTTCTCTTCCCTTTTTGTGAGCCCGGAAGCAAGTGGGGAACTTGAGCTCACATCTGCAGAGCTCCCTGCCACATGTGTTCTCCAGGGCACCAGTCATGCCACAGGGCTCCTGCCAGGGGAGGGTGCAGCGTCCCCTTTGTTTCTTTCCTTGGTATATACTCCACCTGCCATAGTGGGTGGGGTGGGGGACCGCCACATGCTGCTGTTGTTGGGGTTGCTTGTGTCGAGGTTGCCACGGGCTCAGGTGCGACTTCAGTGTCTCTCTCTTCGGGTTCTCACCTGCTAGTTATCCCACCCCCACACCACCCTCCACTTAGGGAGGTCCACCTGATATCAACTTGCTTTTCCCATCATCGCATCCCCCCTACGGAACAGGAAGCATAGCGAGTCTACTCTGTTTGCTAGGGCTTTTAATGAGGTATAGGCTGCAGGCGTTTATCCAGGGGAAAAGGATTATGTGGGGTTTTATTGTATTTTTGCTGTAAGCAGCCTTGAGCTACGGGAAAGGCAGGGTATAAATACTTTAATAAAATAAAATAAGCATAAATATCTCCAATTCCATGCCAATGACACGTTGGTGTCAGAGCCTTAGGTTTGGGCTGTTAGTGGCATTTCATAAGTCTGGAAGTCACACGATGAGTGTCACTGGTTTAGCCAGTTCCCACTCTTGTGCTGTGGTGGCTCAAGTGGTTAAGACGCTGAACTGCAGGCTGTGGAAAGTCGGTAGTTACGTCAACTCCTGTTACGTCAACTCCTGCCACCTTCCACGAAAGTGATGGCCTCTCTTCCTGTGTCCCTGGATTGTTTTGCTCATATGGAGACTGTGTTTTTTGGAGCACCTCAGGGTGATCTTGCTGGTACTTGGCCTATGCAGCTCAGTGCACTGCAGGAGTACTGTCTGCAAATGTCCTTGCCACATTCCTCAGTTGCCTCCTCCTTGTAGCGTTGGTGTATCTGGCTCGACATTTGCCAGGAGCTTTCTTGGGGGCAGTAAGAGGTGAGAGGTGTGAGGGGGAGTTGGTGTGATGGAGTGGTTCATAAGGGAGGCATGCATCAAAATGGCTCCTAGAAATGTCCTTTACTATCTCCCCATGAACATTCATACCCTGGCCCTGCTCCTACACCTGACAGCCTGTCTGGTGTGTGTGGGGGGGTTGTATTTAAAGGCATCAGGGAGGCTGGGCCAGCAGTAGTGCTAACACAATCCTGCTGAGCAAACCTCCCCGGCAGCTGTAACCATCCCACCTCCTCTCCTACACCTGACAGACAGCTGCCTGTCCAGTGTAGGAGGGGGAGGGGGAGGAGTATTAGAAGCCACTGTGGAGGCAGGACCGGCAGGATCACTAAGGCGTTACTGCTGGGGCGGGCTCCCTTGTGGCTTTAAGCACCCTGCAACCGCTGCTGCAGACAACCGCCTGTTAGGTATAGGAGGTGGGGGGGAGTGTGTTGGAAACCATCCCACCTCCTCTCCTACACCTGACAGGCAACTGCCTGTCCACTGTAGGAGGAGGAGGGGGGAGGAGTATTAGAAGCCACTGTGGAGGTGGGGCTGCACTTAACAGACATCCGCCTGTTAGGTGTAGGAGGTGGGGGGAGTGTGTTGGAAGCCATCCCACCTCCTCTCCTACGCCTGATAGGCAGCTGCCTGTCCAGTGTAGGAGGGGGAAGAGTATTAGAAGCCACTGTGGAGGTGGGGCTGCACCTGAGAGACAACCGCCTGTTAGGTGTAGGTGGTGGGGGGAGTGTGGTGGAAGCCATCAGAGAGAGGCTGAGCCAGCAGCTTTACTTCACCTCACAGGTGGTTCTTGGCCACTCCTGATTTCCTCAACTGTCATTAGCTGTCTGCAGTCCCCTGTAACTGTTGGCTTTTTTTACCTCAGAACACTGAGCTCTGCAGCTGACCAATGAGAGAGTGGGGGTGCAGAGAGTCAGCTGCCTGGCAGCCGCATAGGAATCAATGGCAGGAGCACATTTCCCCCCTTTTGACCCACTTAGGGGTCGAATGTCTAAAAATCCCTTCTTAGTGAGCACCTATACCACGGTAGGATCACTCTCCCTGAATTTGGTGTCTCTAGGTCCAGCGGTTTGGCCTGGGCGTTGATTTTACGGTGAGGGGACTTTCATTTATATATATAGATGAGTGGGGTGGAGCAAGTAGATAGAGGGAGCTTTCTCTCCCTCTCCCGTAATATTCAGGCGCACCCAATGAAATTGTTGGTAAATAGGTTCAGGACAATCCAAGAGCAAATACTTCTTCACTCAACGAGTAACTATTAAATTGTGAGATTCAGTGTCAGTGGAGGTAGGCAGTGATGGCCACAAGCATAGACAGCTTTAAAAGGGGGTTAGGAAGATTCCTAGAGGGGAGGTCGTTCAGTGGCTCCCAGCCACGGGGAATGAAAGGAGCCCCTATAGACACAGGCAGCAAACCAGTGCTGGAAGGCAACATTAGGCGAGGGCCTCAGCCTCTATGCCCTGTTTGTTTGGCCCTCGTCTGGGGCAACTGGTTTGCTGATGTATGAAACAGTGTGCTGGATGAGACGGACCTCCAGTGTGATCCAGCCGGCCTTGTGTTCTTACAACCTTTTGGTATGAGGTGTTTTACCTCACCCTTATCCCTCACACATTTCCCACTGCGTTAGCGGCTCACTCTCAAACTGCTCCGCTGGCTTTGTTTTCAAAGTGCAATCCTGAAAAGCTGTTTCTTCCGCCGCCACCACCACCGGCGGCATTGTCATCGGTCTTTCTGTTTTGTTCCTGTGTCCCACAGCTGGTTCAGACAGTTAGTGCCGTCGACCAGGATGACCCACAGGAGGGACAGCACTTCTACTACAGCTTGGCGCCCGAGGCAGCCAACAACCCCAATTTCACTCTGAGGGACAATCAAGGTAATTGGAGCGGACGCCGTTTGTTATGCTAAGTAATGTCTTCCTCAGCGAGTCGGACCTGAGAAGGCCGAGTCTTCACGCGACGTCATGAGACTGCCAGGGCCAATAATGCCCAGTGACACCTGCCCCTTAAAGGCAGCGATAAAATGACATATAATTTTACATTCTCTACAGCTGTACTGAGTCTGCCCCTCCATACACATTTCACACTGACAGGTTCTTTTATTTTGAGGAGATGCGCCAGTGTTGTACAAATCTTAGCCGCCTTGTCATCCTGAGGGCATCTTCTCTGAATGGGATTTTTTTTATTTATTTTTTGCTGAAAAGTAGATGTTTTAAAAGGGTCAAGCTTGAAACTGGAATTGGGACAACAATTAGAGGAGAAATATTTTGCTCTCTTCTTGGGTTCTGAGCTTTTCCGCCGGGAGCACTGAAAGGGATTGTGGGGGGTGGGGTGGGGGGGTGTTTCCCCCTGAGATTAGTTTTGTTCTCCTGTAACACTAAATTAATAGTCGCCTGCTTTTTATAAAAATGTAAATGAGTCATACGAGATGACATTTGGCACAGAAATAAGATGCAGTTTTTAAAAGTGAGAAAGGTAGACAGAGAAAAATCTTTAAAAGAATCCTTTCAAAACACAAGGAAACTGGTCACAAGAGCAGAAATAGGGAGCTATCCACTTACGTGCAGAAAGAAACATGCTTTCTTCATCGTTGTGCTTATAACTTTTCAAATGGTGTTTATTTGTCTGAAATATTTGTGTCCTGCTGTATTTCCTGGGACCCAAGGTGGAAAACAATGCAACAGAAAAGTCGCAAGGACATAAAAGCATCAGTTAACAGATAAAAAATACAGAGGTTTAAAAACAAAAACAGAGAGCTAGATCTGCGGAAACAGCCACTTCTGTAGATACTAGAAGTCCACTTTGCCCAGAAACTCCTCAGGTCAAGTGGGCTGGTTGTGGAACCTTCTCCGACAACTACATGGGTACAAGGGGCTCTAGTTAGATGGCATTTCAGTGGAAGAGCATCAGTTCTCTGTAGACGCAACCTAGAGATGGTTCTTGAAGAGTGCCGATGCTCTTTCAGGATGCTCTGGTCATAGCTAGGCCAACCTCCTTCATCAACTGCCAAACTCATTTCTAAGGCATAAATCCTGAGAGGGTCCTGTCAGCTGAGGCTAGCACACATTTGGGGCAGTGGAAGAAATTGTTAACCGAGGCCAAGCCCATGGATGCTGTCATAATCCTAGGCCTGTAGCAGTGTGGCCTACAGGCTCTAGGGAGGCCTAGTGGCTCCAGGGAAGCCCGTACTAGAGTAGCTATCAGGGCCTAGATTTCCCAAGGCTCCTTTGGACCCTGCGATTGGCCAACAGGAGATTTGGTGGGAAAACCTACACCAGCAGAATAGAGGGTGTTGCCTGGGAAGAAGGGATAAAAGGCCTTATGCCCAAAGTGGGAGGGTGTTCAGTCCCAGGGAGCAGAGCCAGTGTGAAGCTGCTGCAGATGGAGGAATCCCCCATCCAACAACGGTGAGTCAGCTTGAGGCCAAAGACCTAGGGAAGGCTAGGTACAGTATAGTCAGACGCGTCGGGGTTTCTTATTTTGCTAGTTGACCTACCTTTACTGTGCTCGTTTTTCCTACATGTTTTAAAATTACAGTTGTTGCTAAATCTCTTTTAATAAAAATAGTATGTTACTCTGCCTGGTTCCTCACGCCTCATTCGGTCACTTATAAGGGGAAACCTGCTGGGAAGAGGAGTGTATAAAGGGGTCGGGGTGGGTGCTCTGGGCCCTCCCGAGGAGGCCCCTACCAGAGTGGTGGCAGCCATTGGAGAACCTTTCTAGCCACTGCTCACGACACCACCTCTCCCAGCATGACCCCCAGCCCACAACAGATGCTTTCGCACATTTTGTATAAGGCAGTTTTGACCCACTTCAGCAACCGTTTGCAAGTGGACTTTGCCATTTCGTACAGTAAAATCCAGTTGCAAAGTGCACTGAAAGTGTGTGATTTAGTGTGTGTGAAAGCAGCCTATGGCCCTGGTCACGCGGGGGGGAGGCGTGGCTAATTCCCGGTCGAGGTCCCGTGGTTCGGGGGAAATGCCGATCAGACGGGTATCCTGCAGCGCGGCACAGAAGCCATGCCGCGCAATCGCACTAGCAATCGCTCTTTGTGCGCATGCGCTGTTGGGCGCTGTTGCACAACCTGCAGAGACGGACAGCGGTGGGCACCGGATGCCACGTAAGTCCACTGGGAACGCGATCAGATGCTCGCCCTTGGCCCGCGGTTTCAGGAAACTAGTACCTTGTAGGTACTAGTTTTTAACTCCGTACCTTCAGCGGGGAGCCACGGGTTCGCCACGGGAGCACTGCGCTTCCCAGATGTTGGGGTGAGATCACGCCCGGAAAATCCGCAGGACTCCCGTGCCTCTCCCGCGGCAACTTTGCCGTGCGACCGGGGCCTATATATGTCTTTCAAGATGGACCCTGTGCTGCCGCAGTTTACCCCCTAGCCCTTTTCCCCAGCTGCCTTGCCTACCTGCATGAATTTCTGTTGCGCTTGGAAAGAAACGGTAGCAGAATAAAGCAGTCACAAAATAAACACTACTATAGCATCACCTTGTGGTGAAGATAATTATTCCCATATCCTAAGAACTGGCAAAAAGTACAGCTGGTCTGAAGCACCCACCACTTGCTTCCACGAATGCTTTCACCTCACTAAGAAGTGATATTAAAGAATGACTAGGCATTGCTCTCTGTCATCAATACCTCTAAATCTCAACAGTTAACCCAGAGACTGGAGCCATGAACACAGAAGACAAATCTTTCTTCTTTTTTTAAAACATTTTTATTGCTTTTAATCTCTACACACTACAGGGAATAAGGGTGTAAGGGATCTTCTAAACTATAATACAGAGTTAGCAAGGATCATATAACGGTCTCACATCAATTTCTGGGTGTTTCCCTATTGTTTAGTTTTTTAAAGAAATGGAGGTTAGCTATTAATATTACTAATTCAAACAAATGCAAGCATAACTAGTCATAGCGGGTGCATCTTAGTATTTCAATAAAAAAGAAATCATATATTCAGAGTTAAGCTATTCGTCGGTTTTCTTTCCTCCACGTTTGTTTTTATCAAAGGTCAGCTTAATTTTGGGAGGCTTAAGTACTAATAAAGATGTGATTAAAAAAAAAATTGGGAGGCTTAGGAGCTGCTACTCCTAATTCTGGTTCAGAGTCCAGAGTTCCTTCTGAAGAACTACTCAATGAGCTACCACTGCTTCTCGATCCGTGTTCGCTAATATCTTCTGTAGCATTTTTGTCCTCCGCTTTTTCTTTTCCTTCCACTGAACTTTGGTGCTGTTCCAGAAATGCTTTTGCAGATCTTTCTACAAACATGAGGGAAAAATTGAGAAATTGAAAAACCTGAGGAAAAAATTGAAAAACAAATGTACTGGAGGGTTAATGCCCCCTAAAGTAATAGAAGCAGCAGCTATCACTTTAAGAAACAAATGTCATCTGTGGCTGTTGCTAGCTGACCACAACAGTGTTGCCAGCTGAAGCCTTGGTTTCCCTCAGTAGAAAGGAAGGGAAGGGGCAGAGCCCTTTCCAGGGACGTTTTGGCCCCCAAGGGAGAACTCAGCGGGGGCGAGGCCCACCAGCAACCACCAGATGACTCAATACCACACAACTTGAATGACTCACTCAGGACTGGCTGCTTGCTGCTGTTCAACAGCAGCACTTCCTGCCACAAAAGCCAGTGCGGCGTAGTGGTTAGCGCTTCAGATTAGGATAGGCTTGCCAAGTCCCACCGGGGGGCGGGGAAACCTCCACCCCAGAGGCCCGTTACCTGCCGCCGGCAGATCGGGCCCCAGGGGGATCCCCACCCCCAAAGCACATGACGTGCCCGGAGTCAGCACGTCACCCGGAAGTGACGCAGCCACGCCGGGTGCGCCAGGGGTAGGGCCACGGTCATCTGAGGGAAAACTCTATGTTTTCCCCTCGGATGACCGCGGCCCCACTCCCGGCGCGCCTGAGGCGGCCGCGTCACTTCCGGGTGACGTGGTTGCGGGGCGGGCTCCCAGACCGTGGCTGGGGGGCCCCCCCG